AAATGTTTTACCGCTTTGATATTTGTTGAAATTGTACATATAAAACTGTCGCGAATCCCTTCCTCTTTCTGAGTCTTCTACATCATGGAGAAGGGTGCACTTCGTGTAGCTTCTCTTCTGTTTAGAGTCTTTTCCCATTTAGAACGAGGTTGGATAAGTTGCAAAGCCGGCGGAGCTTCTGTATCCCCGGTACGCTGCCTCCCCCTCGGCCCGAGTTGTCCGCTCGGGTAAGCCAGGTCTAGACCAATAAACCTAGGGTTAAACCTAGAAGAACAAAAACTCATGCCGGATCCCTAGTAGGACGTTTGCTTGCATCATGTGCATTTGACTTAGGGGACTCAACACAGGGGTTGGGTCCGTCTAGGACAGGTGACCTGAAATGAATTGACCATCCTGATGCATCTTACGTGCTACTTGCGCATTTATTTGCTCGGCTTTGCATGTTGACTGGCTTGTCTAAATAAGTGAAAATTGAAAAAAGCAGTGTTAGGACTAAGTGAGGGTGACCATTTGTTGTGAGAAAACCCAAATGCCCAAATAGTACCGAAATGCTGCCGGATTTGTGAAAAATGAAAAAAAAAAGAAAAAAGAAAAATATTTGAAAAAAAGGGGAAGAAAATTGTTGTTCAAAATACATTTTTTTTTGATTTTGGCAAATCTGACCGAACTACGCCGGTTTGATTCTCACCGGGTGTGAGATACGTAGGCAACCCTCATCGGGTCCAACCCTTCCTTTTTCAAAAATAGCCAAAAATGCCAAATTTTAATTTTGTGTCATAAATAAGTCGGGTGATGCCATTCCTGTCTAAAACAAGCCGAATGTCCCCAAAAGGACGCCGGAAGGCCGTTTTTGCAAGAATAGCCACCCTGAGTCATTTTTAAATGGTTTGCGAGCACAGCCTTAAAATCTTCCTCCCAGAAGTGCTGAAAGGCCGTATTTGCAAATCCAAGTCCTTATTTTCTAAGTAAAGAATTTTTGTACAAATAGCCGTTTTTCAAAATAAATCACTAAGTTCCCCTAAATAATGTGCAGGATGAATTCAAGTGACATCGAAACCTTCTCAGTCCTGAGCGAGATCCCTTTGAAACTCCATATGTGGTGGCATGACTCGGGAAAAGGAAGCAGGGATACTGTGGTTAAAAGCCTGGGCGGTCTTGTAGATTTATTGAAAATCAGACCAAGGAAGGATGTCATTGAGGCACTGATACCATTTTGGGACCCGACCCGTAATGTATTCCGGTTTTCAGATTTTGAACTCACACCCACATTGGAAGAAATTGCCGGATATGCCGGTCTCAACGGGAACTTCCGCGGTAGATACCCTTTGGCCCCACGACCGATAACTCTTCATAGGTTTTTGGACTTGTTGAACATCAGTCGGGATATTCAGGACCCTCATCTGGCAGAAGGATGTTGTACACTACATTTCCTATATCACCGGTATGGTAACCCCAAAGGTTTTGAGGAACCCAATACAGGACTAACACATGCTGGAAATAAGGACAAATGGGAAGCCCGACGGGGATTAGCCTTCATGGTGGCCTTTTTGGGAGTGGTAGTTTGTCCTAGAAAAGATGGTCACATAGACCTTGGCCTAGTAGGAATGCTAGATGTTGCTATGAAGAAACCTACTAGCACAGTGGTTCCCCTGATTGTAGCAGAAATATACCGAGCTCTGACCAAATGTCGAGAAGGGGAGAAATTCTTTCAAGGTTGCAATTTGCTTTTGCAGTTATGGATACAGGAACATCTTTGTCACCGCACAGGATATATGAACTACGGCTTAACCGGGTTGAGTTGTATTGCAGAGTTCGAGACCCGAGTTACAGGTATTGAGTTCCCGGAGGGTACTGAGGCCTGGTCGTCATGTTTAAGATCCCTCACTGCAGATAAAGTAGAATGGGCTTATGGATGGCTTCCTCCTACTGAAGCTGTATATACATCAGCAGAGGTCCCTTATATTCTTTTGATGGGTATTCGAAGCATTCAGCCCTATGCTCCTTACCGCGTTTTGCGACAATTTGGAAGGTTCCAGACGGTGCACAACGATGAAGACCTGAGTGGGCAAGTCATTGAATTGGGCCCAAAAGCTGCATTCCCTGAAGGCCGAATCCGAAAGATATGGAATGAGTGCAGGTACCTTGAGCCCAAAACTATAGTACAGGACCGGGCCAGAGGTGAGGTAGATCCCAAATACTTGGTTTGGTTCGGTAAAAGGTTTCAAATCCCCGAGAGACCCGCCAAAAGGCTACATGTGCAACAATTAACAAGCGAGGCTCAGGTGCAGTGGGATTGGTTGGCTAAAGAAAAGGAGTACAGAGCTCGAATTGGAGCATTGGAAAAACAGGTTCAGGAGCTTCGGTTCGAAAACAGCTTGCAAGCCGCAGCTGATGAAGGTGATAAAAAGCAATTGGCCCAGGAGAATGAAGCTCTCAAGGCCCAAATTCAACAACTGAAATTAGATGCAAGGAATCGAGAAAGAAGTCTATCCGACGAGAGATTGATAAGAGGGTTGAAGAAACAAGTCCTGGACTGTCAGGAAGAATTGGAAAAATCTGAGGGAAG